CGTCAAGCTTCACAGCTTAAGCGGAAACCTCTCCCTAATCCTCTGTCCATACCGATTAAAAATAATCGGCGCCGGCAAAAACGCCAACGCAATAAAACCCAACATCGAATTTCCCCATCCCAGCCCCAAGCTCGCAAACATTTTCGGCCCCGCCAACGGCAACAGCGCCCCAAGTAACGATCTCGTCGCTGTCAACGTCGCATTTCCAGACGCCGCATGCGTCGGGTAACAATCAATAATATACATCTGGATAGGCATGTATATACCCATCATGCCCACGCCGAACGGGAACATGCCGATGATAGGCACGATCCAGTGTACGTGTTTATCAGCTGTCCAGCCGTACCAGAAGAAACTGATGGGGAGGATGCAGGCGAAGATGATCATGGCCGGAAGACGGAACTCGGGCTGGTATTTGTTGTTATTGCGGGCGGTTAGGGTCATGACAACTTTGTCATTTGTGATTGCGACGGCGGCTAGGCCCGTCATGAAGCCAACTCCGATGCCTAGGTAGGCGAGGCCCGAGAGGCCCGTAGAGAAGCCGTAATTCTCTTGGAAGACGGAGGAAATAGTTGTGAAAAAGAGGTAAAGGAGGCCGTAGATGAAGGCCATGTAGGTGGAGAGGAGGAAGACGATGGGGGATTTGAAGAAGAGGAGGACGGGGCGGCGCATGCCTTGGCGGAGTACGTTGGGGAGGGAAGCAGATTCTTTGTCGGCTTCGTAGGCACTGCGGAGATCGGTGCGGCCAGTTTCTTTGGCTAGTTTGGCTGTTTTCCAGCGTAGAAGGACCGGGGCGTAGGTCTCGCGGTTGAGACACTCGATGCCAAACGACAGCAGGGCACCAGCAATCAACAGGATCCAAAACACCCATCTCCATCCAATCTCCTCGCCGATAAATCCACCACAAATTGGTCCAACAACAGGCCCAATAAGCGGTCCCATGGCCCAGATAGACGTTGCCATTCCGCGCTTCTCAACGGGAAACAGGTCCGCAATGACACCCGCTCCGAGAGTAAGGCACCCAACACCTCCCATACCCGCAAGGAATCGGAACACAACTAAGGAAGGGAGATTCGGGGCCAGGGCGCATCCAATTTGCCAAGCGACGAAGAACCAATTGGCACAGCTAAGCACGATTCGACGGCCGTAGATTTCACTGAGGGGGGCGAGGAGTAGGGGGCCGAACTGTCACCTATATTAGCATAGTCATCGTAAATAAGAGGGAAAAAGGAACTTACCGTATACCCCAGCAAAAAAATACTAACACTGAAAGCCAACAACGTCTGATCACTCTCTCCAAACTCCGCCGCCATATAACCCACTGCCGGCGAGAACATGCTCGACGCGAGCGGCGAGATCAGCGTCACCGAGCTGATTAGCGCCAACAAACTCCATTTCTTCGTTGGCGAGAAGTTCTGCGGATTGGTAGGGTCGTCTTGTCCGTCCCAACCCACGATGCCGCAGGAGAGGTCTGTCTCTGGGAAGAGAGGCTTGTCCGCGGTGGACGGAGCTGCCTCCACTGGCTGTGGTTTCTTCTCAGGGTCTTGCATCTTGTTAGCAAGGCTTGTCAATTTGAATGAGAATCAGAGGAATTAGTACTCAAAAAGTCAACGGATGGCGCTGAGTATAAATAAGGATTCCAATCGCCCTATTCCGGACCCGATAATCCAAACAATGCACAGTAATGCGTGTCAAGTGCGCATAAAAGAGGCGTAAGCTGAGCATAAGGCTCTACGGCGATCCTTGTGCCGCACATTTTCACGTTAGAACCAGAATAAGCGCCCAGATGACTCCGGATAGACTATCATCTCCGTTGATGTTTGCGCTTACCGAAGCGACCGCTGATTCAGTGGTCCGCAATAGTAGCATAACCGAGCCAATAATGACATGCGATGTCAGTGTATGTGGGGCCGCTGTGTCAGCGCTTGATGAGGGACCGGTTGCCGCATTCGGAATAGTCAGCCCTACAGCCAGCGATTATCTATGTTCGAGCTAAGATCTATAGCCAAGATGGCGGGGATAGAGCTATCCGAGTGTGCACAGTGGGGCTACAATGTAGTGAATAAATTGTATTCGGAGCTGAACAGTCAAATATGAGGGATAGCGTACATAGTGGGAAAGACACCAACATATGTATAGTATCTTACACAACATGGGTATTCACAGAGCAATAAGTTCGCCTCATCATGAAGCGCAACATACAAGCGAAAGTTAATAAAGCATCGCAAATAGAAAAACATAAGTGAAAAGGATGGAAGACAGCAGTGAACACTCGTTACACGCTTGGAATGGCCATAAGACATGTTCCGCCCAGCGGTATTAAGCATCAATCGTCCCATCAGACAAGAAATGAAGTGAAAAAAAAGAAAAAATTACATCGCTGGCAATGAGCGAACGGGTATAACGATTGTCATTATGGACGTAGTTGTGGATTTTCAGGAATGGACTTGTGTGGATCCTTGCATTAAAGGACATTCTGAGTTCCCGACGAAGAGGTAGTCAATGGGGCTGACAGGGGACTCGGCTCCGCGCCCGATCGTAGGCTTGGTCCAACCGCATTGCTAGCACTATTGCTTCGCTGTCGTTGGTTGACAGGCATTTGGGGGCGCTGAAGACCCGGAGGTCCGTATGGTCCTGGGCTCATGGATCTCTGCGGCATCGGTCGTGGAGCCGAAAACTGTCCTGGCGACATGGGGCGCTGCGGATATGGAAGTGGCGGAGGAGGTCCAGCAGGAGGAGGGTGTGCCGGGGACATAGAACGAGCGGGAGACATGGGGCGCGCAGGCGACCCTGGTCGACCATCTTTAGGATAAAACCGGGGAGACTGGCTAGGCATGGCACGGCCGTTGGGACCCATAACTGGAGGACCGCGAGGACCGGGAGGACCACCAGGAGGGGGGCGAGGACGAGGCTTGACTGGATGAGCAGAGAGACAGGATCGAGGAGCCACTCCCTGCTGAGAACGATCGAGTCGAACGCAAAGAGCCCAGCCGTCGTCATATTCATGGAGCAATCGAACCAGTTGACCAACGCGGAGCCCCAATTCATCATCCATCGAAGGACTGAACTCCATTTGCACACGATGGACATTCAATGGACCAGGACCGGGACCAGAAGCGGCGGCAGCGGGACCAGTGGCATTGGCGGGCGCAACAACAGGAGCTACAGCGGACGCATTCGACGAAGGATTGGCTTCAGGAGGCGTGAGAGATCGACCAGCATTCGCGGACACATTGTCTCGGGCGGGCTGCGCTGATCTTTTGGCATTTTCAGCCATTGGCGGAGTGGGCAATTCCTTTTCGCTCTTACTATCAGAGGCGGCAGCAACACCAGCAGCGGCGACAGCTCCTCCAGCAGCGGTAGCAAAAGCAGGACCAGGAGCCTCGGTGGCATCAGGTACAGTTTCGGGCGCTTCGGGTATCGATTTGACGGACAGACTGTGCAAACTTGCTGTACCGTCTGGAGATGAAGGCTCATTGCGGATCTGGAAGGGATTCACTGGATCGCCAAATGGGTCTCTGGGCCCAGTAGTAGTACTTGTAAGCGGCGTGTGAGGAGGCGACTGGCTACCATGCGAAACAACGGCATTGGTCCCTGCGGCAGTACCAGCAGCGGCCACGGCTGTCAAAACGTCACTGTGCCCACCAAACGGAGCAAACTGGGTGATGGGTCGGACTTCCAGTTGGGGAGGTTCAGCTGGGGTCCGGGGCTGTTCTGCTTCTGGCGTCCGTCGGGAAAGTGGCGGGAATGCACCGTGGTTGCCAAACACCTTTTCATCCTCAGCTTCCCGTAATTGCTCGGTCTTCTTCTTGCGCATGAACAGGAATATCAACCCTGCGATCAAGCCAACCGCGGCAATAACACCAATTGCGATTCCTGCCTTTGCACCACCAGAAATAGCGCCAGAGTTAGGTTCTGCAGACGTGGATGGTGAAGCAGATGATTGCTGGGAAGATGAAGAGCCAGCAGTCGCAGCTGCAATTTGGTTGTTATTATTAACATTTGTAGCAGCCGTCTTCGCACCCTCCGAAGTAGCAGTTGAAAGAGTCGTCTGCGTCTGCGCATTGCCTGTATTGGTGGCCAAGGTCTGAGTAGCAGTCAGTTCGGTCTTCGTGGTCTGCTTGTTGGTCGTATGCGTCTCCTGTTGGGTAACTTCCGTCTTTGCCTCTTCCGTCTGCGTCGTTTGTTCTGAAGACGAGGTCCGGGTAGCCTGAACAGCCGGTCCAACGCCCATCAGCCGTTGCGTCGTGGTCGATTGGACTTCCGTCTGGTATCCTCCAATCTCGCCTTCGAAATCGGCCGGCATTGTCACATACACCACATGCATACCTCCATCGCGCTTTCCGTGGTCTCGGTGCGAATGTCTATGGTGGCCCATGGTGACTGTCGACGACTCAAGACCAGTGTAGTCAGGCTAGGCGACAAAGACCAATTAACATAAGCTGATTGTTAAGTTAACAGGGACTGGAAATCCTCGTGAAGAATGAAGGGATTGCTGAGTTTCTGTAGTTCCGATTCTCTTCTCGTCTTTTTTAGAACATCCAGAAACCGCGTTCTAGGCAAAGGAACACCAGGGCGTCAGAAAGAATGTGAGCATAAAAGAATGGACACTTCCAGAGGGACTATCTGGCAGTATATCGGAGGTCGCTCGTCGAGCCAGTCGACTGAAAGAAGGACAACGAGCTTCCAGGCCGCGCAAAGAATGACAAATCAGAGAACGTAATTAAAGAGAGAAAGCCACACGGTGGAACTCCCGAGGGAGAGAGAAAAGAACGACGATAGTATGCAGCGAGGAAGTGGAAGAGATGAGAGAGAAAAGAAGGAGAGAGAGAGAAAGAGAGGGACTGGAATGAAGGACTGGCTGTCGCTTGTTTGGGAAATGAGACGGGGCTGGCCAATCAGGGCTTGTATTTTACCGTATTTTATACTAGATGACTAGCCCGATATAGCCAAGTTTGTACATGGGACTCCTCGTGCATATGGACATTTTAGATTCTGATTGGTTTTCACTATATCGTTCCTGGTATAGTGACGGTATTACATGGCACCGCTGCTCAATCCATGGTACAGCACCATACCAAACCAAACTTACTGCGACCGGAATGAACTCCTTTTTCTATATTTGACTCCTTTTTGGTCATTTGCTAGTTAAATGGAAGAACTACTTCAGAGTCCATTAAGAGGCCTGAGACGAGAACATTACAATCCCAGACAGGTCGGTAACTTCGCATCAACCAAAGACCCATTTCTACCGCATGGGCCAGGTCGTGGGGGTCCTCGCATTGTCCCCAGCACAGCACGGGCTCTGTCGGAAAGTGTTGTCCCCGGACATGTGCCATAGGGCAGATGCGATTGGTCAAACACGGTAGAAAAAGGGTTTGCGCTCATTTTATCACAAGGAGGCGAGTTGACATAATATTATGCACCGGCAGGGACGGAGTGAAAACCACATACGGATAAGATGCCAACGTCCTTAAGATTGCGATGTCCTGCATCAGGTCGTCGGGTCCATATCTTAGTGCGTATCAGTTGGTCGTTGGCAATTGCGCATTGGCCGGTTGATCATCGAAATGTCAGACGGCGCGGAATTGTCGTCTAACTACCAGCAAATACTCCGGTACAGTACTTTGAGCACAAGTACAAGTACACAATGCCAGGCATGTTCAAGGAATGCGAATCGAGTCAGGGTCCCTGATTTCAGACCTCAGTCATGATTTGGTGCGGAATGTGATCACAATCCAGGGGTCCGAAGAAGCTAAGCGGCCTGAAACGCCGGGGACAAGAGTGGATACAGAATCCGCTTTCTCAATAATGTCGGCTGTTTTTGTGAACTTCTTGGGTTTTATCTATTTTATGATTTAGTCTCGGATGCCAGACCGCAGATGTGCGCTTTTAAACTTTTATCGGCATCGGACCGATCGTATAACCAGCAGTATCCCTAATTTCGTATGTCTACGAGGATGAGGATGAGAAATAAGGATGCGCTAGTGCCTACGAAATGTCAGGGTATGTCTTAATGGGACATAGAGTGGGCCCACGTACCTCTGCCGCTGAGTATCTTTGGCTGCTTTCATACCTTATCAATTTGCTCACCAGATCCCGGCCATTGGAAGAAGCGCCCCTGAGGATATCATCCCATGAATTGCCGGAGTATTTATAGAATTCAATCTTACTCCAATCCGGCAATATCCGTGTTTCCTATTGGCTGTCAATGAACATACCATGGGATTCTCACACGAGTCAAGTATACATACCGGCCAAACCTCCTCGTCTGGAGTTCCAATAGTCACAAAAATGGACTGGATAAGAGATAAGTCGCTTCCCACAGGGCCCGAGTCAAACAGTTGCTTGTGGCCTACAGCCACAGCCTCTGCAACAACGCAGCCTGCCGCCCACAAATCAAGAGCAATTCCATACCCCTTGAAACCAAACAAAATTTCGGGGGCTCGATAGCATGTGGTGCCAACGTCGGTGATTTTCTTATCACCAGGCTCAGAACCTTTGTCATCTTCCTTCCACGCAATGCCAAAATCTGCCAGGCGTGCCGGTCCATCAGGAGTGTCCAGCAAGATGTTGGATGGTTTGATGTCACGGTGGATAATCCCCAGTTCGTGGAGGTGCGCCAATGCACTGAACATGTCGCGTAGATGACACCGGATTTGCGATGCTGTTAGCATGTCACGACGAAGCAGTTGTTCAAAGTCATGTTTCATGAAGGGGAACACTATAATGAGTCGTCCTCCTTCGAAATTGAACGTCTCCAGAAGAATAACCACATGCGGGCTGGCAGCTGCTCGCAACAATCGGACTTCGCGCTCAGCGTCGTGAGGTGCCGTCAACATATGAGGCGTAGTCACTTTTACCGCCACCAAAAGCCCATCCTCTCGTTTAGACTTATAGATGGTTGAATGCAGTCCATCGAAATGAGGAAAACAGGATTTGTAATGGCCAATTGTCTGACCACCTTCCCATGGTTCCTCATCCTCTTGATGCGGGCTACTTATAGTAGGTGCTATTGATTCTTTGGCCTCGGCAGCATCGATGGCGTCCTGACATATTCGGTCATAGTCTTTCTATATCTAGTCAGCAAGTGATTGGAATCCTCGGGGAAAGAACAGACCTTGGACGTGGCTTGCGCATAAGCTTCACTTTCAACCCTCTTGGCTTGAGACTGAGCCTCCACAAATTCTGACGAGGACGAAGCCCGCTGATATGCAGTAGTGCTGGACGACCTTAGCAATTACTCAATATAAATATGGCTTCGGTCACCGCTGACTTACAGGGACTGGATGGCCGTCAGACGGTCCATGAAGCCCAGGGCCTTTTTCCAATCAGCCATTCTTTAGTGATCAGTCAGTAATCAATCTTCAGATCCGATACAAGAGTAACCGAATCAAACAAGCACATTTACATCCCCTCTGACAGTCAGGTGACATGACACCGTCAGGTAAGCTCACCTGCCTGATGCGGACTAGCGCCGGGGTCACGCGTTGTTCCGGCCAGCACCTCCGCCGTCGTCATCATCTCCCAAGTCTCTCTTTCTTTCGCTTTCTCTTTCGGGGTCGCTCGTTGATGCCGGTTCATCGCTGTGTTTATTGTTATTCTTAATTGCACCTGTATTATGCGCATCGTGGTTTGTTCTGCTTGCATCAATTACCTATGAGCAGTGATTATGGAGCTTTCACGGCAGGAGTATCCAGCCTTGCTGGTATGGCCCCCAAGTCCCTTTTACACTTCATTCAATAACTGACCATGATTTCTTTGTTTCTCTACTTCTAGGCCTCTTTGCAGCCCAGCCAAGCGACTGCCGTGCTCAATGATCGCGTTCGTCTAATTACTAAGGTCAACGCAGACGTCGCGGATTGGCTTCAGGTGTGCTTCTTTGTCTTGGCTCCGCCAAACCCGATTTAAACGACTCGAGAACCATCGGAACTAACGGGTTTAATTCTGGCGACAGGAACGACGAAGAGTGGAGGAAGCATATGCTCAAGGTTTGCGAAAACTTGCGAGTCGGCCACAGCTGGAAAATGGTGCTGCATTCGGGTAGGCCGGAATGTCGCTGGAACATGTGTCTACCGATGATACTGATGGTGCTTCCTCAAAACAGGATATTCCAATTGCCCTGGCAGCGCATTATCAACTCAACTGAAGCGGTCGCTGCGTCGCACGAGACCCTCGCGCAGAAGATCGATGAGGATGTTGAGCGTCCACTAAGAGACTATGGCAATAAAAATCGCGATTTGGCATCGATGCCTGTCGTCCAAAGCGATCTAGCAGGATTGGCGAAGAATATGGAAACAGCCCAGAAAAAATTAGAGAAGGCTAAGGAGAAGGGCCCGAAAGGGGCGGATAAATTGGCTAGTGCGATTCATGCGGCTGAGGAGGTCAATCAACAATGGCAGTCAAGGGCCCCGTTTGTGTTCGAACAGTTGCAGGCGGTCGATGAGGGTCGACTAAATCATCTCCGGGATGTTCTTACCCAGCTCGGAACCCACGAGACGGATCAGGTCGAGCGTTGTCGCGAGGTGGCTGAGAGTTGTCTAAACGCCCTCCTCAACGTCGAAATTGCCGATGAGATCAAAACCTTTGCGGCAAAGATCAACGGAGGAAGGCCTGTGGTTGCTAGAAGGCAGGAGATGTCTCCTAGCGCTACGCCAACGCCCGCTGCAGCCCCGCCTCCTATTCACGATGACGGTGCAAGTCAGCACTCGGAGGTACCGGTTCCTACTCCTAAAGTTGCACCTCCTGGTAAGACATCAAACAAGTCCTTTAATTTAGCATTGAATGGAGGCTCATTTTTTTTCCCATAGTACCTGAACCGCGGCACCCTTTAGGTGGACTGAAGAGACTCGGTACCGTTATGAACAGCAGAAGGAAGAGTATCGCACAACCCGTGGGGGGCTCCTTCTTTTCAGACAAGAAAAACCGCGGTCCGTTTGCTTCGTTCAAGCGTGGAGACTCGCGTGATATGCAGATACCCGAATCACCGCCTCCTGGTGCAGACCGCCCAGGCACTGGTCAGGATAGCTTCGGTGAACCTGTACGTGAGTCCCAGGACCGTGAAGTCCTTGGAGTAGTGACGCCACCCAGTACGGAGCCTCAGTCTAGCGCCATTGCTACAAATGGTGCAACACTTTCAGAGGCGCAAGCTGCACCCTCTCTGGGTGCAGGGATCTTCACCAATGAGGTACGCCGGACACCATAAAGCTGATAAGGTTGAAAACTAACCGATCAACTAGACACGTGTGGATTCGGAAGGCTTCACGGAACGACCGCAGAATATTGACGAGATCACGCGAGCCCAGAGGGAAGCAGCCAGGTATTTCCATCCATTCTTAGTTGTGTTTACAGCGTACGCTAACTTAAAAAATGATATAGTCTAGAAGAGCAAGGCATGAATCTAACGATTCGAGAACAGCCAATCTTTGAAGATGAAAGTCAGGCAAAACAAGCGATGGATGATATGGCCAATACTCTTAGGATGGTGAGTTCTATGAACTCAATATGGTAACACATTGCTGACTTCTGCAGCGTGCTCAGCATTCGGGTATCAGGCGTAATGCAGGCACTATCCGTGGTCGTCGCGATGTCCGGAACACAGTCTTTGTTCCAAGCTCGCCTGTACCGGGCCAGGAATCCACGCTTCCCGCTGGTTTCAATGCCCCTATTCCAACATCCCCGACATTGTCGGCGAGACACATGACTTCTCCTAGTAATGCCACGGAGGACCACGCCATGTCCGATACTACGTCTATTCGATCAGGCCACACCGTGACTGGACCTCCAATACACCAGGACTTGCACAAACCT